TGGTTCTTCCGTTCTGAGGACTGGCCCATAGATTTCCACTGCTCTCCTCTCCCCTCTGTCTTCTGCACACCTATTCATCTCCGCCCCCTGCCTTTTATCCCCAGAGCTAGGGTGGGGCTCTGCTAACAGCAGTGGCTCTTCCATCCCAAGGACCGGCCCATAGATTTCCACTGCTCTCCTCTCCCCTCTGTCTTCTGCACACCTATTCATCTCTGCCCCCTGCCTTTTATCCCCAGAGCTAGGCTGGCGCTTCACTAACAGCGGTGGATTTTCCATCCCAAGGACCAGCCCATAGATTTCCACTGCTCTCCTCTCCCCTCTGTCTTCTGCACACCTATTCATCTCTGCCTCCTGCCTTTTATCCCCAGAGCTAGGGTGGGGCTCTGCTAACAGCATTGGCTCTTCCGTCCCAAGGACCGGCCCATAGAGTTCCCCTGCTCTCCTCTCCCCTCTGTCTTCTGCACACCTATTCATCTCTGCCTCCTGCCTTTTATCCCCAGAGCTAGGGTGGGGCTTCGCTAGCAGCGGTGGCTTTTCCGTCCCAAGGACCGGCCCATAGATTTCCACTGCTCTCCTCTCCCCTCTGTCTTTTGTGTATCTGCACACTGGACCCAGGTGTTCCTCCTCCTCCTCATCAGCCAACTCCAGATCTGGGAGTGTTGACTCTCCATCTGAGGGCTGCCCAGGCTCCACCCTTGTCTCTCTCTCTCCCTTCCAGCTCCCTTCCCTCTTCCCCCTCGGAGCTCTCAGGTTGCCTCAATGCTGGACCTGACTCCCACCTGTCCTCCTCCTCCGATTCGGCTGCTGGCCGACACACAACAACAGTGATTCACTTAACAATGATAACAACCGTTGCACTTTACATCCACGTTGCTTACCGATTCCGGTCCCCATTGCCATCACAAACCAGACACTAACTATATTACATTTGTATCCTTGCTTACTTAACAGTTGTCTTTTTTTTTCCTTCCTCATTTTCACAGTGTTACCTCTACCTGTTCTACACTTCCGCCCGGAAGACCAAAGTCTCCATTCTATTCGTGACCGTCTTCCTCTGCAACCTCTACCTATATGGATTACGGAACCACTGGCAGATTCTCTTCCACGTAGCCGTGGCGGCCTTTTCTTCTCACCAGATCCTCACCAGGCGGGTGGCTGAGAAAATCCTGGATTTGGGGGTGTGAGAAAGGACACCCCACGACATCCCAGAACGGGTCGTTTTTGGGGGAAAAAAAGTCTCAGCTTTCAAACCTATCAGCTCTGAGCAGATTGACTCGTAAATCTGGCGGTTGTTTTTTTCTTTCCGTCCTTGCTCAAAATAATGCAAAGAAAGAACACTATTTTTATTTTTTTTTAGACCTGTGACAGGCAGCAAAGGAAATAACCGTCTAAAGAAAGGAAGCTTGCAATCGTTGTGGATTAATTTGTTTAATCCGAGAAAAGGCCGCAGGATGTGTGCCTTGAAGAAGACGCTCCCTGCTCTGGATTCAAGTAGAAATTCAGAGTTTTTGAGGCTGCCGTCTAGATTTTCCATCCATTTTTATTTTTTATTTTTGTTATTATTGTTGCTGTTCCTTTCAAGTGGAGAACAGAAAGCCACATACATACTGATAATCTGGGAAAATCAACCTGGAAAAAAAAAATCAGATGCACTGAATACTCCCAAAATTGTGTCCTAAGCTTCCTCCAAAGTTGAGCATTGGAACTTGGTTGCAACCATTTTGGGGGGTGGGGGAGTTTACCTCCCCCGTTTAAAGCACAAGATTATTCACCAAGCATTTTAGGGTTTATATGTATATATATATATATAGACATACAGACGTACAGCCAAAGTGGGCCATTGCTGTCATAATGCATATATAATTTATTATTATATTATTTGGGGGAGGAATCGTTTGGGAAACTGACTTGAATCTCGTCTGCGTTAGACGAAATTGTAGATAAATGTATTTATATTGAGTTGTGGGTAGAGAAGGCCACAGCCTTGAAACAACAATGATGGCGAAGGTGCCTTCAGATAATGTCCTGTAAACGTTTCCTGCACATATAGCCTGCTCCTCGTTTTGGATTAAAACTTGGTTACACAGTTTCATGTTGATTATGGCATTTTTTGTAGAATTTTCTCATCTATCTAGATTTTGGCAGAGTTTCTACATACAGGTGTTTACACGGAATAATAATAATAATAATAATAATAATAATAATAATAATAATAATAATAATTATTATTATTATTATTATTATTATTATTATTATTATTATTATTA